AAATGGTCAGTTAAGGATTAAGAACTGAAATTTGGAAGGGTATATGGTTGCGGAAGTAGGGTGTGTAGATTACCAGGTCAATAACGATTGCTTCTTTACAAAAGCAGTCTTGCAATTCTGTTAATCTTTTAAATTCGCAATTGTCTATTCTATGTCTCATTCTCCAAGCATCAGGTATCAAGCTTCAATTTACTTTCCATGTCGAACATCAATCTCCCAGCCTTTGAACTCAAATATGGGGTTTCAACCCTGTAACAATTTCGAATTTTGTATTAAGAATCTTGAATTTGATATTCTTCTTTAAAATTTTGAACTATCCGGACGGTCAGGCACTAAATCAAGGTCCCATGTTGAATTTTGAACTTCTAATTTTGGAATTGAGAACGACGTGAAGTTAATGGATTATTGCGAAATCCGTTTTAAACATCCAATCACTTTCTTAAGAATAATTTTATATGTAGATTCTATATAGACATTGCAGTCACAGTCACCGTGTACTCTCTGTGGATTATCTACAATCTACGTCATATATAGATCCGCAATGGTCCCAAGATGCTACTTGTTAAACATGTGCATTGCTCCGTGTGAAAGAGAAGGCCACAGCGTAACAGCTGCTCCCACTCTGCATGTGATAGAAGCAAACAGAAATTTAATTACATTAATTTTAATTAAGGGTAGTCTTGACTTAATTTTCTGCCTGCTACTCCGAATTAGGTTTTCCTGCAGTTTTCCTAATTCGTAAGGTAAATACCGGAGTAGTATAGAACAACTTAAGACCTTCTGCAGGAGTACCCCTAAAAGCATTATTCTGTAATAGAGCCCCTAACAGAACAAGAGGGACTCTTTCCTTCTTAACTTATTCCGTAATTGTTTGAATTTAAGTACTTAAAATGGAAAAAAAATTGGCATGTGGTATTTAAGCTTAACGTTTCAATTAAAAGAAAACTGGCTTCCAGTTTCATAAGAACTTTCAATGCACTTTCCTAGATAAGCTGATTTAATGATGATGACATTGGATATACTACGAAAACTTTTGGTAATGTGAGCAATTATTCAAATTAGATCAGAGCGATATAGAGAAGAAAGTAAAATGTTTTTTTAGTGAAAGTGCTGTTAATTTTCCAAACGCTTTACTAGCGTAATAAAAATTTAATCCTTCCCTTACATTCAAATTTATTAAGTTACGCTTCGTTGTCTGGGTAAAAAACTTGATGACGATGACTTAACATGTTTGCATTGTCGAGACATTCATCAATGGAATGAACTAGAATTTAGAAATGTTATTAATATAATGAAAGCAAAACGTATAACTACTTTTAAATTGCCTATGAGGAAGTTCTCTTGCAGAAATTAGATTCCGTACGGGATGTAAGTAAATATAAATCTCGTGCGTGTAATTCATTCTGACATGTGTTGTTAACATTTAAACAGAGGCGGTAAATATTATCAATAATGTAAGTAATAGATGAAGTGTGGCTTACTGCAACGTAATTACGAAGGTATTGAAATTGCAAATGATGATTACGCTGCCCGTAAGGAAGAATGTGCATAAATAATGTTACTACTGTACTTAAGTGTACACAGTTTCTTCCTCATTTGACGTTAACTTTTTAAAATAAGAGTAACATTTTATTACTTTACGGAATAAAATTATCAATTTATATTCTATTTATTTTTTAGAAAGCCTAAGTGGTCTTTCATTTTAGAGTTTAAGTTCAATACGAACACAGAAATACCATTTGCCGAAAGGTGATTTTGCGTTCCAGAAATCGAAAGGGGTGTGAGGATAATCTTGGATCCGTAACGGAGTACCTCAAAGCACCAACTAACACCAAGGGTTATGTGGAATCTTTTCTCTACACAATGATTATATGAAAACCCCCTAACAGTATATAAACGATGTGTCCTTTTTGCACTTTGCAGTGTAAAATATAAATGTACATTATAGAGGGGATGATATAGATACTTCTGTATCTCTACACGCGTTGTTGTTTTTCCCTTTCCCTCGTATTATTTAAAAGGCAAGGTACCTTTGTTAATCTTCGAATAGTTTCCGCGGACGAAATTTCATTATGCTAGCAATTGTATGCTAATAATTTTATATAAATGTTGACATTCTTTACTTGTTTACCTATCAGTATTTGCCTATTGCCAAATAAAAGTATACGGGACATTAAAAATAAGCGTATCGCGTAATTGTTTTTCCAATAAATTATTCTTAGGGACCTCTTTCAATTTGCATATTTTATTAACAGAAAAGAAGGTGTACTGTAAGCAAACCATAAAACAAATAAAATGACATGACTCCTTCTTTTCCCCCTTTTTTTGTTTACAATCCACGTCCATACACTTCTAACCCCCCCCCCCCCCCATCCAGCAACCCGCTCCTACTTCTCCCTGTCATTTCGACCTGCGTACAGTACACTTCCATACCATGTGTTCTATGTCCTCCTATTCCTCTCCGTATATTCTACATTTTCATTCTGGTCTCAATTTCTTCTTCCCTCTCTTCATCTCCGTATTTGAATCTCGCCATTGTTTTAATATTTTTTCTTCCTTCTCGCAAATATTTTGGTAACCACTCCCTTATTAGATCTTTATAACTACTACTTCCCCCTGCGCTCTCTACCTCCACCCTCTGTTGTTGTATTTGTGCATCCAGATCCCTTTTTGCCAGCCCATTTTCATCATCATCATCATCATTTTATTATATCTATTTTTTTCTTCTGTGTACACTCTTTGTCCCAAGACTCCCTTTTTTCTCTTCCCCCCCCCCCCCTTCGGTTATTTGTGTCCATGTTATTGGTTTATAATACTCTCTTTTATATTATTCCACTACCCCTCTTTGTATTCCCTCCTATTTCTTCTCCTTGTTCCTCTACTCTCCCTCTATACAGTTCTACTGTGTCTCCCGTCCATAACTGTATCTCTTGATTTTCTATCTCTTCCCATTTTCCTTTAATTTCTGTTCTGACATTAAAATCAACCCATAATAATAATTTCTTTTCCCCTCCACTTCTACTCGTCTGACCCATATTCCTTTCTCCTCGGTCGTTTCCTGTCTCCTTTCCGTTATAACTTTTTTTACCCCTGTTAATATAACTCCTTTTGCTCTTCCCTTTAAATTATCCTTCGTCGCAAATTGGTTCTTCAATATGTATTCATTCGAAATCCTGTTCTTTTTGTTTTCCCAGTTCGTTTCTTCTATCCATGATTCTACCATCCCCACAACATTATATCCACTTATTATAATGAACCATGCAGAAAATCTCAGCCCTGGTCCAAGGATAAATCAATAATTTCAAACTCCCAGTCAGATATGAATAACTGAGCGTTTATATAATGTACCACACTTGGTAGGAATCCGCGCTGGAAAATTCATCCCGCGAAATTCACCTCCCCATTAATAACAAACCTTGGAAAATTCGTCCTGGAAGTATTCCCTCACGTCCTTCCTACCGTTCCAAAATGTTCGCGCTCAAAAACCCTTCCCTGGGTTTATTTTAAAATTAATACTTTTTGCATTAAATTTTTTTAGGAGCGAATATTCGAGGTCGAATTTTGCGGGTGAATTGTCCAAAGAGAAAGTTCCGAATTTCCTCAGGGCGACAGTTTCGAGGCGAATTTCATGCATACGATATTATCTAGTAATAACCTGTCGATCATATGAAGTAATTGCCAAAATCATTTGTGGTAACAAGTGTTACCTATCATAGATATAAAGCGTTTGCTCTAATTCATAAGCTTCGAGATGTACGATTTCGTTTCTTATTAACATTTTGATTGAATAAAGAAAGATAGGCCTACTACAAAATCTGTTAATATTAGATAAGCTATCGACTCAATGGTTTATTACTTCGTGTAGGTATACTTTTCTGTAGTCCATCTAGCGTAATTAGTAATGCTAATCTGTGCTGCTTTTATCTCCCAATGAAGACTAATAAATTGTTAGGATGGAAGTTTAATAACTTGTTTAACTCCGCAATTAATCAAAAAAGAAATATTTGTATATTGTCATAACATAATTTTCTCGTTAACAAGTAATTAACATTGAAATCCCAGTGAAATGAATACATCCGGCAAGAAATTCATATAAAAGACATGGCAGTTCTTAAAATATTGTGATTAGACAGCTTTAATAGTTTTGTCAATTACAAAAATGGAATTAATAAGGGAATGGAACTTTCCCAACACGAAATACGAAAGTAAGTTTTACTGGGAGCGAAAAAACTTGGCCCGTGCCCGCAAATTATGCAAATTTCTGTTGACGAATAACAATGCTAAATTGGGACCTATTTAAGAATCCACCTACCAAAGTAAATTATGTTTTTTGTTAACGTCAATTTAGCAATTTTTGTTTGTGTTCAGAATTTTCCTAATTTAAAAGTGTCATTAAGCGGACAATGACATGTAAAGTATAAATAGAAAGAGATGCGTTTTCTTGATCAATTTTTCAAAGATATCCGCGTATATACTTGACCAATTGCGCAAACCCAATCGATTATTAGGAAACTATAATTGCACAAAAAATTATTGCTTGGGCGCCTGTACCTACTAATCAGCACTGTCGTTACCTAATAAATCCATCATTATACTTTCAGCATGATTATTTCAATTCAATTCTCTTGGCTCCTATTTTGTATTGTGTATTATTGGGAAATGTACGTAATTAATTTTTGAGGAATCATGGAGAAAGTACTTCCCGGATAAAACTTTAATATTTATACACTATTTGTATTGTAGAAAACAATTAAGCAATACCAAACACTATCGAAGTTACGATACCTGCGCTCCAGATTTACTTAAAAATTCTTTGCCGATTTACTTGGTCCCGTTTTTTTAAACATAATTATGGATTTATTGATTTTGCTTATGAACTTTCATCTCTCAGAACAAGGCATATTCTGCCTTAATTTAACAAAAACGCACATAAGGGAAGAATTCCATATAAAACATGAAACGTATCGTCAATAACATATGGAGTATAAGAAAAAAATTGATTCGAAACAGCAAGACAAATTTAATAAACAAAAATGAGAGTACGTTTCATATACAGAGTCGGAGACAACAATTTAATAGTAGTAACCATAACCCATTCCATAGTAGGGCATTCCCATTCCATATCCAAATCCCCAGTATTGTGGTTTTGGTCTGGGCATCGGATTGGGGTTTGGTGACGGATTGGCAAACGCCAATGCGAAAAGCGCCAACACCATTGTAATCTAAAGCCAGATTTATGTGTATTTTACGTAATTGTCGTACGTACTCACCAGAAAAACAGCTTGCATTTTCAGATGATTTTGTGAAACTGGTTAAAACACTAACCATGGTAGTGTAAGATCTGTCTTATATACGAACTTACCGGTGATTAATTATATATTACAAACTATCCAGAGATAAGACCTATTTTAATATACTAACGTTAATAGCGTTGATAAAACGACATAAACAAATATACTTAATTTGGAAGTTGATTATAGTAATAGGAAAATAATGAAGGTGTAAGCGATAGACCTATGAAATCTCTTCTCTACATTTTTAAGGTATATTTTGCCAATAACTATACATCCATTTGTGACCTTTATGAATGAAACCTGCACTAGTTTATATGTCCATGAACTTGGCAGGCCTACTACAGCAGACCATAGTTCTACTTACTCATATCGTTAGTGCTCCGTTAGTGCACGTTAGTGCCGCTGAAGAAATCGTTAGTGCATAAAAGGAAACTTACTATTTTTAAAAAATATTTGTGGGCCTGCTAACTTCATGCCAGCAGACCCATTTGAGAAAATCGATTCAATCTTTGCACTAGTTAAACTAGCAGCGTTAGTGCTCGTTAGGGCCGCCAATATAAACGTTAGTGCTCAAAGTGCAACAGCTCAAAACGTCGTAAAAAGGGGTCTGCTAACTTCATGCAGCTGACCCACATTTGTCAAATTGGCTCAGTCCTAATGCAAATTTGAAGCGGCTCGTTAGTGCTCGTTAGTGCTTCACATGCGAACGTTAGTGCTGCAAGGGATCCGCGTCAAAAAGGTACCAAACCACCTCAAAATTAAACTTGACTTATTGGGACCTGCCAACTTCACGCCAGTAGACCAACGAGTGAAATCCGTTTGATTTTCTACTTTAATCGACCGGTAAGTATTAGTGCTCGTTAGTGCCGCCAATATAAACGTTAGTGCTCAAAGTGTAACAGCTCAAAACGTTGTAAAAAGGGGTCTGCTAATTTCATGCAGCAGACGCACATTTGTCAATTTGGCCCTGTCCTAATGCGAATTTAAAGCGGCTCGTTAGTGCTTCACTTTCGAACGTTAGTGCTGCAAGAGATCCTCGCCAAAAAGGTATCAAACCACCTCAAAATTAAACGTGGCTTATTGGGACCTGCCAATTTCACGCCGGTAGACCAACAAACGAAATCCGTTTAATTTTCTACTTTAATCGATCTATTAGTATTCGTGATCGTTAGCGTCGCAAAAAAAAGCGTTAGTGCTCAAAGCGCAACAGCTCAAGATTGAAAATATGAGTTTGCTTTGTGAAAAACTATATAACGATTAAATTAGTGATGCCTTTATTAGCTCTGGTTTCAATTTTTATTTTCATATTTTGCATTTTATAATATGCGGTTCAAAACATTGGTATGATTTCTTTTTAATATACTGATGCTAGTACCTTACACTCAGCGCCGCCGCTAGGCTTTAGGAGGCCTAAGGCAAAATGGAAACAAATTTTGCTAGTTGTTGTGTGGTCAGCAGAACCTATAAGTAATAGTTAATTTTTGAGATGCTTTGATAGTTTTTCGACACGGATCCATTCCATGCACTCACATTTACAAGTGAAGTCTTAACGAGCACTAACGAGGAGCTTCAGATTTGCATTAAGGCAGGACCACTTTAATAAATGTGGGCTTGCTGCATGAATTTAGCAAACCCATAATTTCACACTTGAGCTCTTGCGCTTTGAGCACTAACTTTTTTTTTGCGACGCTAACGATCACGAATACTAATAGATCGATTAAAGTAGAAAATTAAACGGATTTCGTTTGTTGGTCTACCGGCGTGAAATTGGCAGGTCCCAATAAGTCAAGTTTAATTTTGAGGTGGTTTGGTACCTTTTTGACGCGAATCCCTTGCAGCACTAACGTTCGCATGTGAAGCACTAACGAGCACTAACGAGCCGCTTCAAATTTGCATTAGGACTGAGCCAATTTGACAAATGTGGGTCAGCTGCATGAAGTTAGCAGACCCCTTTTTACGACGTTTTGAGTTGTTGCACTTTGAGCACTAACGTTTATATTGGCGGCCCTAACGAGCACTAACGCTGCTAGTTTAACTAGTGCAAAGATTGAATCGATTTTCTCAAATGGGTCTGCTGGCATGAAGTTAGCAGGCCCACAAATATTTTTTAAAAATAGTAAGTTTCCTTTTATGCACTAACGATTTCTTCAGCGGCACTAACGTGCACTAACGGAGCACTAACGATATGAGCAAGTAGAACTATGGTCTGCTGTAAAAGGGAATAGGTACTAATTTTATCAGTTTCAGTTTTTTTTTGACAGAGATGATGGTATAACCCTGATAGTAACAGTGGCAGAAAGGTACAAAGTGATGAAGGCGTAAGGTTAGTTCGCTTCCGGGACTAATAGATGTGATATAGGCTTAGAGGAGTGCATTAAACTCAAACAGCTTACTAAGGAAATATCTATTTACCTACATTGCTCTCATAGTGACTAAAGAACTTAAGCCGGAACTCCGTCAACTTGGCGCATTGAACAGGTGATTGGGAGAACTGCGGAACAAGGGAAATGCACAAGTTGGAAATGATTTTAATCGAAAATAAGCTTTCCAAATAAGTGCTAAATGAGTTTGCGACGGTTTCTGAATTTTGGAAACCGAAAAACCATGATATTTATAGAATTCTTTAAGTTTGCGCTTATAACTCGAAAACGGAGCATCTCACATAAAATTTAAGAGCATAAAATGTCACATCAGATGATCGGTAAACGTTAAAATGTGTTCAGCGGTTTAGCCATAATCTATCGTCAAAAACCAGCAATATTTATCAACGTAGCGGAAGAATGAATTAAGCTACATTCCAAAGTTGAATTGGAAAATCTGGAATTTGACGGCCACGGCGTAGTCTTCGACCAATATGTCATCAGATGGGTTGACTTTCAACTTCAATTCTGTGAATGCATCGCTTACGTTATTTTTTGGCATAATCGCCAAAGCAGTAGTTAAGTATCAAGATTTAAAATTCAATCGATTAGAAAGCAGTTCATTCTTTAAAGTTTGAAGAACTAAGTGCCACGTTCGGAGAGAGTAAATTTGGTAACCGTAGATAAAAGGGGGCAATGACAATAAAAATTTTACAAAATGTAATAATTCATTTAGCTCCAGAAAACACACCCTAGGGTCGATTTAAAAACATTGGGCCTGCAATGTCATGTCTCACATTCGGCATATTGCATATTTCGCACATTTGTTGGTTTATGTAACAACATAATATTAATAATAATTAAATAAACGGTTAACAGAGATGCCCTGTTAGTAGCTTGGGATCAGCAGGTATCAAGGTTATTGTAGGAATTTTGATATTATAGCTGAAAAATTTGTTGTATAGTTCGTATTTAATAAAGCATTTCCAATTTGTAATACTACATTAGTAATGTAGTAGTATGACGAGAAGTTATTAGTAGGTAACTGCTTCTCCTAGTCATGTGATCTGTATCCAAGCCATAAATGGTTGACTTTTCGCCAGCTCATCGTCGTATTTTCCTAAAATCACGAAATCGGACCCCCGATTTACAACAAATAGACTGCGCACCGAAGCGATCATAAGCACAAAAATCGCATCAATGGGACAATTAAATATCATAGTGAATTATATAGCATTAATTCAATGGCAAGGATTAATACATTGCTGTCACTAGATGTAACAAAAGCTTAAAAATTCAAGTGCAGTTAACTTATTGATGACTTCCGCTTTGGCATGTTCTTCTAGCGCGAAACAAAAGATCTTCTTTTTTAATAAATAATTAAGCTCATCGTTGGGTGAGCACAGACAACATGGTGAAAGGATGTGCACGGACAATTGTCTACTAGAATATTGTGAATCGATGGTGCAAAACGGATCATACGGCAAGTCCACCTATACAAAGTTTGCCTTTGTAATTCTTAAAGGACTTGGCTTTATTTTTGTCTGTGCTTAATTGTATCTGAAGAAGAACTGCACCGAGACATTTTAAGTGCTTTGATTTAAATGCAAAACACTATTACACGGCAAATCATTTCTGTTTGCCGACTGCGATTAATATCATGAATTGTAATTTGTGAATAGAAAGGATGTTCATGGTGATTTGGTATATATTTTAATAGATACCCAAGTTATATACTTAATTTACTTTAATTATATATGGATTGTTTTAGTTCACTCAATTATTACCTACACGAAATTATTATCTATTACAAATAATTAACGCGGAAAGTATCTACCTTTTTTATAATTAACAACAGCGCGTTGTTTCGTGTTTTAATTCTACTCTTTCAAAAAGGTTTAATTATTATAATAAAGTATAGGTATACAGTGAGTTTTTTTAAAATGCGAACATAGGAGTTTACATGCAATGTAATTTCCCTATGTTCGATTTTTAAAAAAACACATCAATCTATGAGGTGTGCGCGGTTCACAATCCCAAATCGCGCAACTTGTGTGACTATGAACAGCAACTCTAATAGTCCTTATGATGAAGAGCACTCGGTAAGATTTCTTTAAAGAAGCCATGTGAGGCCATAGCAACTGTAGGATACATTTTTCTGAAACTTACGATAACTTGACCTCACAGGCCACGCACTGACACCACAACTCATTGTGAACCAACCTTCAATTATTTGTAGGTCATGTGCACCTGGTATTCTACTAATTTGATCTATTCAATACATAAATGATGAAAATAAGAAAATAAATACCGAAAACAATTACAATAAATGTTCGAAGTGTCCTCCTTGACATTCTAAGCAATAACCTAACCGACTTCGTAATTAAATTTTTAAAAATGTGACAGCTGTCAATTGTATCTACTACTCATTTGAACTACTCAATAGATTGATGTGTTTTTTTAAAAATCGAACATAGGGAAATTACATTGCATGCAAACTCCTATGTTCGCATTTAAAAAAAATTCACTGTATGTAATACGGAAATTCTATCATAGCAATGCTATAGGTAACTTCTTTACTACTTAAGGTAGGTAGACCAAAACAATTTGCCTGTATAAATACGTGTTACTAATAGCAAAAATAGGTTAGCATAGGCGTATAATTTATTCAAATTAGTTACGGTCCTGTAACATTTCCAATTAGTGCTTAGCTTGTCTACGATCTATGTACCA